AGCTGGAGATGGATATACTCTGTGTTTACATCTATCGTCACTCGAGATAGTAATTTCATTTCTTCTACTATGAATTTCCTTAAGTTGCTTTGCATCACAACACAAAACTTCGAGTACAGTAAATTATGACTTATTTCTATAATATATATAACTATATTTTTTTAATGTTAACCAACTGGATTTTTTTTTCGTTTCTATTTCGTCTGATTTGATTTGAGTATTATATTTTGACTATATTGACTGAAAGAAAGTTCCAACTTTAACATATATGTTACAATTTGGACAGACATACATCATTACAAATTAAAATAAGTACTCTTTTAAACGTAAAAAATATCAACTGATATATCAATGCTCAAATTTGTAAAAAACACTTCAGAAGACTGCCAACCACTTGAGATTGACTTCCAATGTTTAATTACGCAGACTCTACGCAATCAGATTAGAATTGAAAATCAAATGGCATGTGGAAATCGGAACGGCGGCAGAACACTTGTCGTTGCATAAGGTTTTAAGTGTCTCTGAGTTGTGTACGCGATATGCCAAGTTTCTTATTTACGTATTTGAATGTATGAAAATATAGACACACTAATTATTTCATGCGAAATTGTCTTTTTTTTATATAAAAGGGCCTGTTCTTCTGTCCTTGTTATATGTACTTCTAGGTACGTATATGTACATATATATACTTTATTTCCAGGACTTTCACTAAGATCCGGATAGCTATTTAGCTATCTTGATAAGGTAACAAACAGACTGACAGATAAACATGCAGTTAATCGGACATATATACAGACATACGTTTATAATATTGATAAGGATGCAATGAAATAAGAAAGCTATGTCAAACTAATATGTAGCGACCTCATTGATAGTACTTCTATCTGGTTACTAATATGCTTTCAACTATGACAGATAAAAACAATTGACCAAAGACAAATAGATATATCTATTAATTATATAGTAATTTGTCTCTTATTTTTATATGACAGTATAAACTGTTCTAAATGCAGAATAAACAATTGACTATTGTTTATTCTGCATTATGCGTCGAAACTTTTGAACTAAACTATTGTAATTATATCGCATAAGATCTTCGGCAATTCATGTGCAATTAATAAATGTACATATTACATATAAACATGAACATATTACATATGACATATAAACATTGTCGTTGTACTAGAGAAGATATATTTATACCGTATATTTTTCTATATTTATAAACGTACATTAATACGTGAAGCAAAAACTTTGTATACTAGTTAATTAAATATTAATCCACAATAACCAGTATAGTTTTCTAAGGATTCTTCCAGAAATATTGTTTTGAATTTTAAAGTTTAAGAACGAGAACCCAATTTGCAGTAAGAACACTGAATGTGAAACTTCGTCCGTGCAATCGTATATAGCAAAGTAACAAGATTTGATATGCAAACTCGACATGTTGTTGGTCCAAACTTGTGGTAAACTTACCACAGGTTTCAACGTAACAAGTTTTAAAGAAATATACGAGGGTCAAGAAAAACAAAAAGTGACTATGCCATATTATTATTTATCTTGCATTAGAACTAGGTTATGTTATACTAGCTGTGTCCGCGGTTTCATCCGCGTCAAGTTTATAGCCTACTACTATATTGCTGTAAAATTTCATCAATATCCGTTCAGTAGTTTTTGCATAAAAGAGTAACAAACATCCATCTATACTCACAAACTTTATCGTTATAAATATTAATAATAAATGTCATATAAAAATTATCTTACTAAAAAGTAAGATATATTTGGTCATACTAAAGAGAGCCGAGCCGAGCCGAGCTAGGAATTTTATTCTGTATGTCTCTATATTGTTATATTTATATATAATTTGTAAATGAAGGCATTTGTTTAAGGAATCGGAATAGGAAACAAGTCGATGGTATCATGATGGTAACATTAGCTTATATGCATGAACTTCACCACGAACATTACATGGTTATTTGTCCGTCATATCATAAATATATTGTCATTGCGGAGGATACCTCGTATCCTTAAATGGCTCATATCAGTCATATATCTTGACCCTTCAACCGAAACCGATTTACAAAGCAAGTAGGTTGGCGATAGAAAATAGTTAAAACCTAGATTACTTCGACTATCATGGAGACCAGATTTGTATAGGTTCAATACCAAAGTAAACATTGTAATAAATGCAACCATAAAAATCGGACTATAATTGCCAAAAAAGCGTATTATAAATTCGTAATTAGTGAAAGCAATTAAAACTAAACTTGTATGGAACTAATGTCGATAATACAGGCTGTTGATTAAAAGTATTCTTTTAAAGATCGTTGAAAGTAAAAATATCAGAAATAAATTAACCACAAGCATATTCCTATTACGGGTCTATTTTGGATCGCGTGTCACTATACAATAACTACATATTTTATGTAATATATAGTATATACAATGAGGAATTCGTATTGAAAATAATTGCTCTCACATAAAGGCAGTTAAAATATTCAGCAGTTAACGCAACTGGTACTTCGAGACAATGGCAACGCGCACGATGGGCGCACGGGTGTTTTCTATGTCTAATCTATGGTCAATTTGTGGAATTTGAATATTTTTCCATAATATTAATTGGCTACGAAGGTTAGATATAAATTATATATGAAATAATATGTTGAGTAACACTTAACAATCATAACCATGAATAAAAGTGTTTGCATTTTGCGAGGAATGGAACCCCCGAACATCGGGTAAATAAAGCATAAAGCGGTGTGTCAAACCGCTATACCACCGAGGCTATCAATTGTATAGTGTAGAATATAATTATATACTATCTCTAATATAAATATATACAATATGTGTACATAGACACACATAGTATATATTTATATTTGAGATTGAAATAATAGAACAAAGATTTTTTATAGGTTCTCAAATGGTAGCAAATAAGTACACGGCACATATGATGGTAAAAGATTATTATAACCTATGGACGGCAAAACGTCTTTCAAGTGCCTGTTGTCATTCCTTAAGAAATCTTTATATACACTTCTTGAAAAACCCCATGATATATAGGTAGTCTCTAGATAAAACTTTGGACGGTAGTTTACGCTAATATTCAGCTTAATTTGAAACTAGAATAATATATGAGAGTTTTTTCAGGCCATTTACTTGACCTAATTACTTATATGTTACTAATAATTTAATGTCCATCATAGTTTTTCTTTCATATTTTTACAAATATTCATTTACTATATTATATAAGAATTTAATTTATTTTACTATTTGAATATAAGTAAAATTATAAACTAGCATGTTTTCTGAGCGTTACGTCTATGTGTACTGAATATTGTTAACCCAAAGCCTCGGCGGCAGCATTTTGTTTATCTGTCTTCTGTAAAAGCGGCTTTGTTTACAAAGGCACGCGATAAAACAGGATGCATGGCCCGCCCCTAACAGCCTGCGATATAAAGGCCCTGAAAACACAAGGTATAAGGGATATTGCGATACCAAAAGGCAAATGATGGATAGTCTTGTTATCTGTTTACAGTAGTTTGTACCCACTTCGTATTGTTTGTTCCTTATTGTTCACCATTATAATTTTATTATGTGAATTATTTTAATATCTTTATATCATACTTGTAAATTTAATATAAAATATTTTACATGCACGTTTAGTTATAATGTGATCCACATGAATTATTACTAGTTTTATTGAAATGACAGTTCTTAATAGAGACTATACCATATCTTACTCGATTGATTATTGAGTGCATTACTATTCGGCAATACTGCAACCGTCATATATATATAATAGAAGCCAATTACAATCAGGCATCATTTCCCACTGGGGGTTTGGTATGAAGATATCAATCTGCCTTACCTTGCCTTAGATACCTTATACAGACTTAATATAATTTAAATTGAATATCAATGAAATATTCATACATATATCTAAAAACGTACACGGCGCGGTGGTGCAAGTAAATGAATAATAAAGTGGGAACTATAGTTAATGTATGAGTATAAGTGCTTATTTAGATAGTTAACAGTTACGAATTGGCACAAACTTGTCAAAGTCTTTAGTTAGGAGTTCGTAATTGTGTCCAATATGCTAGATACTGCTAATTATACTTAAGTAGTTTCTACATAAAATACTATCACTATGCTGTAGTTTTTAAAACAGCGTCATTAAAAAACAATAACGAAATGGTAGATGATAGTTAATACTATATAATTATTTAATAACCAAAGCACTGAAAAACGGTCGATAATATAATACATAAAATATGTTTTTATGCAGTTAAATAATTACCTATTACAGTCTAGTACAAAAATACAACAAAATGTAATTGTTACAATAGAGACTCTATTATCATAATCCAATTTGGCTATTAGAAATCTTCAATTGTTTAGTGTACGGTTTATGGTTTGATAAAAAAAATACAATTAGTTTTAATATCTATCTTTCCACAACTTACATGAGTTACTGTATCTAATGTCTGTTTACTGTACATAGAAAAGCACAGTTTATACAACTTAACTATTTTAATCTCTGTATGTTGATTGTGTAAACTTTAAAGACGAATAGATAAGCAACTTGACAGCACATGATAAGCGAGAGGATAAGACACTCTTATATGGAATTAAATGAATAAATATGTATCAAGGAATTTACTTTAATGAGATAAATGTAAGTTAAGTATATTAATTTAAATTTGAAGAGTAAATAGTTTTTAATGACACAGAATACTTTACTCTAAAGTTTTCATAACTAAGCCTTCATAAGTTACTTGTCTCTCCATTGCTGTCTGTAACTTTATCCTAAAAGTAAGTTATATCATATGTAGGAAAATATTATTATATAATTTCCTTCTGTCATTGACATATTATATTTGTTTTAGATATCTATATTGTTATATAACTAAAACGATCAAGTGATCTAAGTACTTTATGCAAGATGTAACAGAATAGGTATTACCTACCTAGTATTTTAAAAAAAAGGTACTTACATGAAATGCTCCACCAATCATCGGTCCAGCTTGTCCCACGTACAAAGTAGAAGCAGAGTCGAATACCAGCTCAAGAGGGTTCCTCTTCACCACCATCGTGTCGAACTCGTGACAGTTGAAGAACAGAGTTACATTCTCCGTAGTAACCCTTAACGCGAATCGCGACCACTTCTTTGCAATTGACGGTACAACAAAAGACGCGATTGTTTGAGATAGTGTATATATATTTGCGTCTGTATATAATAATGATATATTTGTCAGCCCAGGACCCGATGGAATAAGTGTAACCCCTAATTGAACAACTGTTTCTAAAGGGTTCACCACAGAGAATAGGAAACCTCCATCTTTGTTTGCGGGTCGAACTGTAGCAGTTATTGAGAATTCGGGATACAATTTCTCCGGCATGAATAGGCGGTATGGTGATTTTATGTCAGAGCCTGGTTTCAAGCCATAAGCTGGGAAACCATCGAGCCCTTCATCGAAATATTGGGTTTTCTGGTTGCTGAATGGTACACCAATTGCGTGTAGCAAGTCGTATTCCAGTATATCTGAAAAAAAAAAATGTTGACATTACATTTCATGTAATATAATTCTTTAATGAAATAGAAATGGTTAAAAATATATCTTTCACTATCTGTTGCTTCGATTGAATACCTGAGTTTCATATTAATATCTATAATGTTTGTATCCTGGTACAAATTAATACTTCTCGTCTATAATATTTGTATCTACCTATTCTATTATATACATACACTAATCTATCGAGATGTCTATTTTGATATATACGTAGATGTTCCGGTTTACGTTTCTACATATGAATAGCGAATGAAATAAAATTCCTATACTGTCTATAAATATAACTAAGCGAATAAAAATGTATGCAAATTTTTATAAATACTCTTCTTACTAAAATAATATAAAATATAGTTCCGATTCAACGAACACAGTTTTCATACCAACAGTTTCGAGTTGGGGCTATTAGCGCGGAATGGTTGTCTGCGCTTTATTCGGTAAATAGAGCTGTTAAACCGATTGCGGTTTTGCGAATAAAGATGCGACTCAAACTACGAAATGCAGGATTACAGCTTTTTGCTAATTTTATTCTTTGCACGTATTGTTACAACTCATATAATAATGTAGCAACTATGTATTTGATGACAGAAGTTGTATGTGTGTAGGACTGTTCATGTATCAAACCATGTTACCATTTCAATAACATAAAAAAATGCTTTATAATATAACGTATTATATTATAAAGCATTTTTTTATGTTATATAATATCGTCATATAACGTGTAATTGGAACAAAGTTATAGTGTGCATGTTTTCTGAATGCATTGGCAAGTATTGTTGAGAAATTATTATCAATACTGTTAATTAAATACCTAAAGTAGAAAAGAAAGGAAATGAAAAAATAATCTGGATAATTGATAGAAAATTTATTAGTAAAAAGACATTTTTACTTCTTTGAATTAATAGTCATAAGATAGAAATGGGTAAAATTGTATATAGCATTATTATAGATAATAAATATTTTATATTTGTTTCGGAAATTAAAATAATAAAATATAATATTGAAACTAAATTGTTGAGACTACATGATCATAACATTTCTACTTCTAAGAACAAACTAGAACATTGTAAGTTAATTTGAATTAAAATCATGTTTTGTTCCGTCAGCAAATAAAGGTGTTAAAACCTTTTAATATCAAGTAACAATTGGACATTTAAATATAAATAGAGTTAATAGGGTACCGAAAAGTAAGAAATTTTAATCATTACTGATTGGCTTCTTTTAGAAAATAATAATAACATTCTTACGTAGTTAAAATGTATATATGGATTATACTTGTATTGTGGACTCATAAAAATAGATTGCCAGTTGATACATTTTTAACTTCATAATGGCAAGACAGCATATTGTAAATGCAAATTGTCCGTCGTTTGTTGAACTATGGATCAATAAATACAGTAGTCCTTTGAAATGCTACCAACAGACATTTTCTTTGATTATTTATGTTTATTGGAAGCTTTGAAACTCTGAGAAATGGATGACAACTCTTTGTTCGTATTAATGAAATGAATTGATTGCTGATTCTATCGCGGGCCCTACATTGATATTTTACATAATTATTGTAACAATAATATTTTGTCTTTTGAAATAAAACTTTTGTGATATTTAATTCAAATAAAGTAAAGTTATCAATATAATATAAATCGTATTTGAGCCATGTCTATTTATAAAATGTTTAAAAAAAAGCTATAGTTTATGTGCGTATGTATATCCAACGTTGTACTTACATTACCGGGTCAATAATATCTTTTTCTCTTATTTGTTCATAAGTTTGTGTACGGTATTCTCAAAAACAGTTTCATAGCTTTCATTGCAATTTACACTGATGTATCATAGCGTATGATTTTGTAATATACATTTAGTGTTAGTTTTATTTCAATGAGTTCATAAAGAAAAAAATATTAAATCTATTGTTTTTCCAAATACAACTAATACTGCTTAAATATTTATAAATTTTCTACTAATTGTAATCAATGTCTATGGGATAAACACTGGGAAACCTATTCCATTTAGAAAAAAATACTTTGCTTTCGATTTTGACGAAAATATTAGGCAATATATTGTAATATAGTAGTTTCCCATAGTGTTTTATCGGTTTAAAAAAGGTTTATGTAAAAAGGAAGTTTACAGCTTTTTACAGCTGGTTTGGAAAAAGGAAGATTTTACAATTAACAACTTTAAAAAATTATGCTAAGTCATATCTTTTCAAATTATCAGGAATTTCAAAGCTTCCTTTTGCGAATATAAATATTAAATTATATTATTATTTTAAGATAAATTTTCCAATTTTATTTTCTCTTCTAATAAAACTATTGTACTTACCAGTTTGGAATTTGGATAATCCATAAAACCCATCGTTGGCTGCACAGGTGACCGCGAACAGTAGTACCAAATAGTCCACAAACCAGGATCTGAAATAGACAGAAAAACAAATAATACAATTTAGGTATACTATTAAAAGTATAATTCCATTATAGGAAATAGTATTTATACATTTTTATAGTAAATATCATTTTTGTATCTCTGCAATTATTCTAGTCTATATGCTTAATGATAAGTAGGAATGAATAAACTATATCATTTTAACATTTTTGTTATTGAAAAAATCTCTAATTACAATATATGTATATACCTACTAAAGGACAAACTAGTTAACTAAAAATTATTACTATCTAGATAATAATTTTTAGTTAAGCAGTGTATGTTTATAATTCTTCAATAATATTAAGAAATAATTTTGACATGCGTATTTAATTAATTTATTGGAAGTAAAATATATCCTTCTGTATAAGAGATTGTTTAATAAGGCCGCCTTGTATCAATAACAAATTCCTTTCATTGTATGTCGAGTAAATAAACAATTAAATTAGATTGATTCCCACAATATTCACTTACTAATATGCTCGCCGTTTGTACAAAAACTATGTCCGATATTTCACGATAGATACATTTCGATAGGCACTCAGCGTAACCACTCGAAAACAAATTGTTTCCAGAGCTCTCTCATTTTTTTGTTTTTAGGGTACAGTATGAGGACAAGTAAATCTCTGTGCATAAAGGTATTGTTATATGTTTAATATGTCAAACAACTTTTTTTAAATTATTGTTGAAATGTGGTTACTGCTGACTATAGACCCTGAATATATATATTTTTCTATAGATAGAAAAAAATGGGTTTGAATTATTATTGTTTAAGTGACAAGATATTATGTGTATACCTCTTTTGGATTTTGTTATGTATATAAACTAATGTTTTTTTTATAATTAAATATATTTAAATGTTATTTTGCCATTGTCAATCACTTTAATTTATATAATTTATAGATAGACAAATGAGTATTAAATATATATGAAATAAATGAGTATTAATTTATTTTATCTATTACATTCACTATTACACTTCTAGTTTTATTTGATATAATTTTTATCTCTAGGTATGTATGTATTTTAACTTTCCAAGCGAAATATTTTAATATATATGGATTTTAAATTAAAATCATTGATACGAATTTGTAGTGACAAATCGAATTTAGTGAGAACAGATATCGGCGTTGAATTTCCAATTAGAACCATTTCGATGTACACAAAGCAAAGAAAAAATACGATTTGCAATTCAGATCCTATTTGAGACCATTCAACTCCCCCTGAGTCTTAATTGATACGAATATTGATATGCATTTTTGTAGAAACACGATTAAAGAATTAAGAAGTCAGGTGGCAAAAGTCTTTATCTCTAGTAGAAAACATTATGAAATACCGTTTGTTTCCACCAATAGGTTTAATATATTATACTGTAATGAAAACTTATATTCTTTACATTATAAACTTATAAATAAATTTTATTATGTAATCTACAGAATGAGTCATTTAACAACCAGTTATTACATACTAAGAGGTCATAGGCCCTGAGAGTAATGGGGTAATTAGAGACTTAGGTGTCTAGGAAGTAAGGATTCATTTTCTATGACATTAATTATACACAATTTACGTAAGATAGATTTTCGTAATATTAGATATTAGGGAGCATAAGATGCAACTTCATTCTATTGCAATAATACATATACATTTCTATGTCATATTGCTTAGATACTGTTCATCTTAGCAATGCTAGGAAAATAAACTGCATTTCACAGGGAATAAGATTTAGAAATAAAAAAATATATGTCGGTATGTATTATTCAAATAAAATGTTATATCATTTATGAATCATATATTTAACTATTTAAGGTATATTTATGTGAAAATATAAACCAAAAATAGACATAGGGTAGACATCAAGTTTTTGTTCTCAACCCAGATCAAAATCTACTCTCCACAAATCCACAATCTAATTCTGACATACTAAAATTGGGTTCTTATTTAATATCACAAAGTCTTTGTATAGATTTCATGTAACATTTAACATAGGCGTTAAATACTATGATGTTACATTTATAACTTCTATATTGTTATTATTATTAATTTTGTAATGTATCAAAAACTTTAAATTAAAACAAAAACAGGTGCAAGTTTAGTTTTAATCTTATTGAAATGTCTTTAATTTAGTTGCATAAATTTAGTTTTTTATTTTTTATTTTTATCACCACCTTTATCACATGTTAAACTAATAATAATAATGTATGTGTCGTATAATAATATAAATACAGACTTATGTAAATCTATATTTAATGACTGCAAAGACCTACAAATACTTTATAGATACAATCTAATGGTTACTAAATAGGCATGTTTATCAAATGTACAACATCAAGCGTAAATCTATTAGATTTATTACTCAATACAATAAGAGATATATTCATTACCCTGTCTAACTCGGATAAACATGTCATGCTCCTTATTTGTACAAAAGTAGATAATATTGTATTGCCTACTATAGTGGAAATCATACGTCGACAAGACATTTTGGGGTCAGGTATTCAATGTAAATGTAAGAGTACGATCGGCAATTAATTCAATAATATTTATTATGTAAATAGTAACGTACAAACTGAGTATTTAAATAATTATCATAAAACTAGGAGTTAATTTTGAATACCAAAAGATTGACGCTATGCGTTATTTGAAGTTTTGAGATATGGCAGTGTAATTACATACTACGGCGCTATATGATGAGTGCTATGATGATGATATGATGTCCTTGGTACTGTTCGTTCACATAAGGCACAGTTATCGTTTACCATCAGATAGGCCATCAGTCCGTTTTCTATTGCAGATTGCAATTTTTCAAAGTGATTTTCTATTTGACAGCATGTTTTGTTTTTGTGTAATTATGTAAATATGTGTATATGGATTTTCTTGATCATATTTGCAATACCTAATTAACCTTTGACCTTAATATACCTTATTCCCTAGTACCACAGACATTTTCACGGGATTAGTATAGGGTTTGTTTTTTTAAAGGACAAAACTTATTTATTTGCTTTTCGCCGTTTACATTTCCGTATTTTATTACGTACATTTTTGAAGTTTGCGTTTCTTTATAATCTAATAAGATGCATTATATAATATTGATATATTTGTATATTCGATACTATTTCTTCTCTCACAGAAAACAATACTTACAACAAACGTAGGTGTTTCATGACTAAGCTCTATTGCAAAAGATCATTCAAAATTAATTCTGTGAGAAATTAACATAACCAAATCTTTACATTTATAGTAAACACCTTGTAAACAAATTCAATTACCCTTTATCTGATGTTATTACCACGATCAATAATTACTGATTACGGTGATTGATGTTACACCTTTTGATATGCGTAGGCATATTTCTCAATTTATATTCCATTAATGCAATTACAATAAAATTTAAGTAGGACATTCAATGTGTAAACTTATTATATTACAATATTAATAGTATATTATTTACTAGCTGAGTCCGCGAAATCGAAGTTATAATTTTTTTATTTGTTACCCCATTGGAATAAAATAAACACTAAATTATTAATGAAGCTTACCTCAATATCCTAATGTAAACCGCATCAAAATCCGTTGAACCATTACTGGAATTAGCGCGCACTAACGCACAGACAAATAAATATAACGATTGTTTATTTTCTCATATACCCGCAGCTTCGAGGAAGAGATCAATAATCTAAAATTACAAAATCGTCAGTTAATCTCAGCAAAACATAAACGAACAAAGAAATAGACAACTCACTTCTATGTACAGCTAAGTTCAGACAGCGATCCGTTTACCTTTACGTTATATGTATATGTAGATATAAATAAAAAATCATATCTTTGTTCTATGAAATAATAGTTTAGATTTATTGTAGTAAATTTATTACATTAATTATACAACTTGGGTATAACATCGCGCAACAATACCAAGTTCTTGGTGATAGTATGAAACGACATACACCCTCATTAGTCAAGTCGAATAGAAGTTCGTGTTTGATTAAACATCAACTTATTGTTCATTCACATGCCACCTAAGATACGGGTCCATTCTGCAATCAGTCAGCGTCCCACATTTTGGTCACGAGTGAATAGAGTTGTATAACAGCCGAAATTAATTATCGGTAGGGTGGAACAAAAGTCCTAGAGGCCAATCCGTCACTGTTGAAGGAGGTTGGACAACGGTCTATTTCAATACCAAATGAGTATGAATTAGTTGTTAAGTGGCTATTGAATTTTATTTGGATTGAATATATTTACTATTGTATTGTTTTTAAAGTTGCATATCAATTATAATAATTTATGAGTTTCAAACAAATATGGTATCCTGTTAGTTTGTTATCTATTTTCACTTCAGATTGTTTATGTGATATGCAGGGAGATCTAAGGACTTTGACTTTTATCTTTAAACAACTCTTCAACACCAATGAAATTAAAAAATATGAATATAGGCCATTTCGGCCTCTCATATTTGTCATAAATATATATACTAACCTTACAATCTTGCTTGTTTGTCTTCCTTCAATCCCATCATAAATCGATCATGCAGGTAAGCTCGCTATGTAATCTTGATAGGAGATACGAGTTTGCTTGTTACCTATCCGATGGAAGACCAACAGATCGTGTCAGATCATGGTCCTCCATAATACAATGCACAAGATAGTGCATTGCATGTGAATGACAGGAATTATCGAGTAGTTAAACAATGATATATATATATATATATACAATTTGATTGAAACCCATATAACGAATATGTGAAAATTTAGGAAATTACAAATAAAAACAAATTGAATAGTTCTACTACTTCTTTAGTTGTGATGACTGAGAATAAAACATAGAATTAGGGCTGTAATAGCTGTAGTAGTCTCCAGTGTTAGTGGTCTCAGAATTAAGCAGATGATCATCTGCTGAATGTTGGAACTAATTGGATATAGTTACTTCTTTTTACTCTCTACTAATTTTCACTATTATCTACAGATGATAGGAGAGGTGATAAAAATTAAAAAAA